GTTGTTGGAGCAGCAGCAGCAGCAGCAGCAGCAGCAGCAGCAGCTGACGAAGATTGCTCTTGCCACAGTTCCGAGCACCAGCATTTCTGCAGGTACTGTTCTCACGAGGTTAACCCTAAACCCTAAGCCCCAAGCCCTGAACCCTAAACCCCAAAACCTGAACCTTAACTAAACATGAACCCTACAACCCTAAACCCCAAGCATGAACATGGCCACGGCGTAAAGGGTCCTTCAAGGCATCAGTCATCGCCGACTTCACGACATCCAGGGCGTTCTCACGGATCTCCTGTTTGGCGGCTAGAAAGATCAAAGGTGCACGGGTAATGTAGGGGCCTTCATAAATAGAATAAAGTGTTGGGCTGTAAAAAGGAACCCTAAGGAATGAATACATATATATATATATACAGGTAAATAGTTCGGCTTCTATATTAAACTGGAACCCTCTGATCGTATATGGTTGCAATCCCCTAACCCTAAACTTTAAACCTTAGATCCGACATATCGAAAACTAAGCCCCAAACCCCAGACCCTACATTCAGCCCGAAGCCCTGAACCCGAAGCCCCACACCCTAAACCCTAAACCCTAAACCCTAAACCCTAAATCCTAAACCCTAAACCCTAAACCCTAAACCCTAAACCCTAAGCTCATATTCTGCCCTAAGCCCGAACCCCTATACTAAGCCGTAAATAAACCCTAAACCCTATGCTTGGCCCTAAGCCCTGAGCCCTAAACCCTATATTCAGCCCTGAGCCCTCAACCCTAAATCCCGCATGACACTCTAAAGCCCTACACCCTATCATATAGGGGCCTTAATAATTAGAATCGGGTTTGGGGCTCATCATGCTACAACTACAACAAGGAACCCCCCCAACAGTATAGGTAGTTATTTAAGGCCTTAAATTAACCCTGAAGATCCCTTAAAAAGGATTCCGTAAGGATCCCCTTAAGGATCCCCAGAAGGATGCCTTAAGGACACCAAAGCCTAAACTTCATCTCCTGGTCCCGGGACGCTGCCAGCGCCGACTTCGAGATCATGGAGACCATCTCAGACATGAAAGCCTGGTCCTTCCTGGGCTCATTTAGGGCTTGAGGTGTTTTATGAAAGCCTGGTCCTTCCTGGGCTCATTTGGGGTTTGAGGTGCTTTAGTGTTATAGGGCTTAGACATGAACGCCTGGTCCTTCCTGGGTTCACGCTTTGGGTGTTGAGGGTCTACGTTGTCATCTAGGGCCTTCACGATTAGAACAGGGTTTTGTGAAAAAATATGGTAGATTCAGCAAGGGACCCTAAGCTCCATTATTTAGCCCCTATCCTAGGGCTTAGGGTTTAGGATGTCTGGGTAGGCTTAGAAAGTTCAGGCATTAGGGTCTGCAGTTCCGGGATAGATGGAGTCTAACACACGGCGACTGCTACGACCCCGGTCGGGGAACGCTACGGTTGCTCCAAAAGTTTAACAAAGGTCCGCGCCCTACAACAACCAAACCCGTAAGTCCCGCAGCAAGTGCAAAGCCTATTTAAACCTTGCAGAGACCCTGTCAAATAAACCCTCGGAGTGCTCCAGAAACACAAGTTAAGTCTGCAAAAGCTGGAACACCTCTAGGGGGTACGGTTTAGGGTTTAGGGAACTCGAACACTCTGTAAGTCACCACTAAACCCTGTGAAACCAAAACAAAAGCCCCCTAACACTGGGAGACTAAAGCACTCCATCTGCTGAGCGGCATAGCTCGGACGAGGGCGTCCTTGCCTTGCTTTAGGTTGTAGGAAGGCTCTGTGGCTTTTAGATGGGTTCTATATCGGTCCTATAAAGCTTCTGTGACTTTGAACCCTGTTTTACCCTAGGTGCAAGGCCGTCGGGTCTTCAGCACGAGGGTCGCGCAGGCTCAACTCTTAACCGTTACATTCGGTTTAGGGTTTAGGGTTTAGGGTTTAGGGTGTAGGGCCAGCAACCCCCGAAAGTGTGGACAAAGCGGCCCACGTCCAGGAGGTGTGCACGGAGCAGGTGGTCGCCGGAGGAGAGGATGGCGGCCTGCTGCAGTCCTATATAAATCCCACTGTCATGACGTCCAATGATGTAGGGATATCCTTGTAGAATGCTTATGCTTGTGACCTTTTGGAGGCCACGATTAGAAGCCTAAGTCATTTTACTAGGGTAGGGTTTAGGACCTCAGCAAGACGACTACCATCAACCCTAAACCCGGAAACCCTAAACCCTCGACCCTAAACCCCAAAAAGCCGTAAAGCATGAACACTAATTATCGCCTCTAAACCCTAAACCCTAAACCCTAATGATTTTTGTGGTTACCAGCTTTCAGGGTTTCGAAAATTTCGTCCAACGCTTGCCTTGGTCAGCGTCTTTATCATCTCCTGCTGCAAGTTCTCGTCCTGCTCACATTCGGGGTTTAGGGTTTTAAAGGGTTTGGGGTTTAGGGTTCGGGGTTTAGGGTTCAGTCACTCCCATGCGCCTGAATCCTTGCATGTCGCGTTTTTGATGCTTCTTCTCCCATCTGCACACGCGCAACGTGTGGGGTCGCTGCAAAGTCGTTGCATTTGCCGTTCCCGCATGGGCACACCCCCCGCACACATTCCCCCAGAAGTGAACAACTCATCTGAAAACCTGCGTGCTGCTGTTCGTTGTTGAAGCATTCTGCAAGTGCACACCTCCGGGGACAGGTGAAGAACGGACCACAAGATGCATCTTGATGTTCGAGAGTCTCAGGGCCTCCCGTGCACCCCCAGACCCGCGTACCGAGTGTAGATCTTCAAGGGGTTCCCGCGCAAACCCCAAAACCACCCAGGTATACTGAGTGTAGATCTTCGAAGCGTCTCTTGCGTGCAGCACCGAACCTACGTACCGAGAGTAGATTTTCCAGTCCCACGTGCCGCGTGCACCCCCAGACCCGCGTACCGAGTGTAGATCTTCAAGGGCTCCCGCGCGATCCCGAAACCCACGTACCGAGCGCAGCTCGCGCAGGAAGTTCTCTGGAGGAGATGGTTCTGGTTGTCGAGGTGGTGGTAATTGGCCTGGGAATTGGAATGGGGGGCTCAAAAATGTGTCTCCTATGTGGACCCAGAACGATACCTTGAACGAAACCTGAACGATACCCCGAACGATACCCCTTGTGTGGCTAGGAAACCAAGGGCCCACTCGATCGAGACACACATGCATGGCATCATTGCGTTTTAACGGAAACCCTTCTTGCACGCTGGATCGATGCGCGTCCACAGGCACCCGTTCGAGACACACCAGTCGTATCACGGCACATCAAAACCAGCCACTCCCCATGTAAACGCTGGATTTCGCAAGCACCAACTCGACACACAGGTGGCGGCACAACATATCAAAACCAGCCATTCCCCATGTAGACTCTCATTTTCACAAGCACTCGCTCGACACACACATACGTGGCATCATTGCGTTCTACCGGAATCCCCTCTTGCACGCTAGATCGATGCGACTAAACACAACGCGATGCGACTTTAAAATCTCACAACCCCACAACGAGAGTGGGGAACACCGCAGATCATCATCTTGAAAGCCTTTCCGCCATGTGCACACCGAAACGCAACGACCTCACAAAAAAGCTTCCCCCGAGTGTCTGCCGCTGCCACAAACAAAACGCAACGACTTAGGCAACTGGGAGTAGGGTTGAGGGTTCAGGGTATAGGGTTTAGGCCCAAAGTTTAGGGGTTGGGGGTTTAGGGTCGAAGGCTTAGGGCGTTTAGCTTTAAGTTCGGACTTCCGGTTTTGGAGATGGTGGTTTCGGCGTCCTGCATGGCATCGATGACCGTCTCCTTCAGGGCACTTTGTACCTGCTTGTTGGTCATGGCCTGACGCAGGGTTTAGGGTTTAGGGTGTACGGTTTAGGGTTTAGGGTTTAGGGTTTACGGTTTAGGGTGTAGGGTTTACGGTTTAGGATTTAGG